TTTCCCTAGATGTTACCTGTTTGACAGTGATAAATGATTAGTTTTGTATATATCTATTTCTGTTTTCCCTAGATGTTACCTGTTTGACAGTGATAAATGATTAGTTTTGTATATATCTATTTCTGTTTTCCCTAGATGTTACCTGTTTGACAGTGATAAATGATTAGTTTTGTATATATCTATTTTTGTTTTCCCTAGATGCTACCTGTTTGACAGTGATGCGTTTCTGGTGATGGACCCCGAGTTTGTGGTGGCAAGTGATCTAGAGGAAAATAAGTATGTGCGAGTCCAGCTCGGCACCAAGGAAGGGGAGGTAATGAAGGACCTCATCTACAAACACAAGTTTTTTATCAGGAAGGAGGATATTGACTTCCAGGGATCCTGTCGTATAACACCTGAAGCTCCAAAGGTAGACAACTCTATTTTTTAATTTGATTTAAATTCTAATATTTTATAAACTTTATAGATGTGTGTGAGAGTCGCTTTGTCACAGACTTAGTTCTGTACCCAAAAGTTAAAGGTGACATCAACTGTTCATAGGTCTAATGCTTGTACGGGATGTGACTTGTGATCAGTACAGTAGTTTCTTTTGAAAATTAATACTGTATATAATGACTAAATGCATAACACTCAAGTCTATAACCGAAAGATCAAAGTCGTGGCAAGGGTTAACTGTCAAATACTAACCAGACTAAGTCTATAACCGAAAGGTCAAAGTTGTAGCATTACAACTGTCAAATACTAACCAGACTAAGTCTATAACCGAAAGGTCAAAGTTGTAGCAAGGGTTAACTGTCAAATTTATACAGTTGTAGCAAGGGTTAACTGTCAATTACTAACCATACTAAATCTATACCCGAAAGGTCAAAGTTGTAGCAAGATTAACTGTCAAATACTAACCATACTAAATCTATACCCGAAAGGTCAAAGTTGTAGCAAGGGTTAACTGTCAAATTTATACAGTTGTAGCAAGGGTTAACTGTCAATTACTAACCATACTAAATCTATACCCGAAAGGTCAAAGTTGTAGCAAGATTAACTGTCAAATACTAACCATACTAAATCTATACCCGAAAGGTCAAAGTTGTAGCAAGGGTTAACTGTCAAATTTATACAGTTGTAGCAAGGGTTAACTGTCAATTACTAACCATACTAAATCTATACCCGAAAGGTCAAAGTTGTAGCAAGATTAACTGTCAAATACTAACCATACTAAATCTATACCCGAAAGGTCAAAGTTGTAGCAAGGGTTAACTGTCAAATTTATACAGTTGTAGCAAGGGTTAACTGTCAATTACTAACCATACTAAATCTATACCCGAAAGGTCAAAGTTGTAGCAAGATTAACTGTCAAATACTAACCATACTAAATCTATACCCGAAAGGTCAAAGTTGTAGCAAGGGTTAACTGTCAAATTTATACAGTTGTAGCAAGGGTTAACTGTCAATTACTAACCATACTAAATCTATACCCGAAAGGTCAAAGTTGTAGCAAGATTAACTGTCAAATACTAACCATACTAAATCTATACCCGAAAGGTCAAAGTTGTAGCAAGGGTTAACTGTCAAATTTATACAGTTGTAGCAAGGGTTAACTGTCAATTACTAACCATACTAAATCTATACCCGAAAGGTCAAAGTTGTAGCAAGATTAACTGTCAAATACTAACCATACTAAATCTATACCCGAAAGGTCAAAGTTGTAGCAAGGGTTAACTGTCAAATTTATACAGTTGTAGCAAGGGTTAACTGTCAATTACTAACCATACTAAATCTATACCCGAAAGGTCAAAGTTGTAGCAAGATTAACTGTCAAATACTAACCATACTAAATCTATACCCGAAAGGTCAAAGTTGTAGCAAGGGTTAACTGTCAATTACTAACCAGACTAAGTCTATAACCGAAAGGTCAAAGTTGTAACATTACAACTGTCAAATACTAACCAGACTAAGTCTATAACCGAAAGCTCAAAGTTGTAGCAAGGGCTAACTGTCAAATACTAGCCAGACTAAGTCTATAACCGTAAGGTCAAAGTTGTAACATTACAACTGTCAAATAATAACAAGACTAAGTCTATAACCGAAAGGTCAAAGTTGTAGCAAGGGTTAACTGTCAAATACTAACCATACTAAATTACTGGTTTTCATGTTTACTTAGATTTGTGAAGTGCACTTTTAATTTTTTTGGTCAGAGGATGTAATTTCAATATTAAATGTAAAGTACATATTTTGTCACATTTGAATATCAGTAAGATGAAATTTTACCAACAAAATTTGTGAATTTGTTCTTTAATAATTTGAAAGATTTACAAATGAATAACAAATTTCCCACAGTGTTCTATTTTCTGGACAACATGCAGTAAATCATCAGTTTATAGCAACAATTCAAAGGTTTTATTTGCTGGAATTCAAACTGATAAATTTCGTCACAAATGTTTTGTTATGCAGGTGACTTTAGAAGGCATTCCAAAAAATCCAGAAAAAAAAGATGATTATACCAAAAATAAAGGTCCCATTCCCAAGTTCAACAGTGAGTTTGGATGTATACAGGACTTGGTGAGATACAAGGCCAACAACACAGCACTAGGTAAGTAGTTCTTGGTTCCTGTGTAAGTAGTTCTTGGTTTCTGTGTAAGTAGTTCTTGGTTTCTGTGTAAGTATTTCTTGGTTTCTGGGTAAGTAGTTCTTGGTTTCTGTGTAAGTAGTTCTTGGTTTCTGGGTAGGTAGATCTTGGTTACTGGGTGAGTCATGGTTAGTTACTGAGAAAGTAATTCTGGGTAAGTAGTTCTTGGTTTCTTGGTAAGTAGTTCTTGGTTTCCTGGTTAGTAGTTCTTGGTTTCTGGGTAAGTAGTTCTTGGTAGCTGGATAAGTAGTTCTTGGTTTCTGGGTAAGCAGTTCTTAGTTTCTGGGTAAGCAGTTCTTGGTAACTGGGTAAGTAGTTCTTAGTTTCTGGGTAAGTAGTTCTTGGTTTCTGGGTAAGCAGTTCTTAGTTTCTGGGTAAGCAGTTCTTGGTTTCTGGGTAAGTAGATCTTGGTTTCTGGGTAAGTAGTTCTTGGTTTCTGGGAAAGCAGTTCTTAGTTTCTGGGTAAGTAGATATTGGTTTCTGGGTAAGTAGATCTTGGTTTCTGGGTAAGTAGTTCTTGGTTTCTGGGTAAGCAGTTCTTAGTTTCTGGGTAAGCAGTTCTTTGTTTCTGGGTAAGTAGATCTTGGTTTCTGGGTAAGTAGTTCTTGGTTTCTGGGTAAGTAGTTCTTGGTTTCTGGGTAAGTAGTTCTTTGTTTCTGGGTAAGTAGTTCTTTGTTTCTGGGTAAGTAGTTCTTTGTTTCTGGGTAAGTAGTTCTTGGTTTCTGGGTAAGTAGTTCTTGGTTTCTGGGTAAGTAGTTCTTGGTTTCTGGGTAAGTAGTTCTTGGTAACTGGGTAAGTAGTTCTTTGTTTCTGGGTAAGTAGTTCTTGGTTTCTGGGTAAGTAGTTCTTGGTTTCTGGGTAAGTAGTTCTTGGTTTCTGGGTAAGTAGTTCTTGGTTTCTGGGTAAGTAGTTCTTTGTTTCTGGGTAAGTAGTTCTTTGTTTCTGGGTAAGTAGTTCTTTGTTTCTGGGTAAGTAGTTCTTGGTTTCTGGGTAAGTAGTTCTTGGTTTCTGGGTAAGTAGTTCTTGGTTTCTGGGTAAGTAGTTCTTGGTTTCTGGGTAAGTAGTTCTTGGTAACTGGGTAAGTAGTTCTTTGTTTCTGGGTAAGTAGTTCTTTGTTTCTGGGTAAGTAGTTCTTGGTTTCTGGGTAAGTAGTTCTTGGTTTCTGGGTAAGTAGTTCTTTGTTTCTGGGTAAGTAGTTCTTGGTAACTGGGTAAGTAGTTCTTTGTTTCTGGGTAAGTAGTTCTTTGTTTCTTGGTAAGTAGTTCTTGGTAACTGGGTAAGTAGTTCTTTGTTTCTGGGTAAGTAGTTCTTTGTTTCTTGGTAAGTAGTTCTTGGTAACTGGGTAAGTAGTTTTTTGTTTCTTGGTAAGTAGTTCTTGGTAACTGGGTAAGCAGTTCTTGGTTTCTGGGTAAGTAGTTCTTTGTTTCTGGGTAAGCAGTTCTTTGTTTCTGGGTAAGTAGTTCTTTGTTTCTGGGTAAGTAGTTCTTGGTTTCTGGGTAAGTAGTCCTTGGTAACTGGGTATACATGTAGCAGTTCTTGGTAACTGGGTAAGCAGTTCTTAGTAGCTGGATAAGTAGTTCTTTTGTTTCTGGGTAAGTAGTTCTTTGTTTCTGGGTAAGTAGTCCTTGGTTTCTGGGTAAGTAGTCCTTGATTTCTGGGTAAGTAGTCCTTGGTTTCTGGGTAAGTAGTTCTTTGTTTCTGGGTAAGCAGTTCTTTCTTTCTGGGTAAGTAGTTCTTTGTTTCTGAGTAAGTAGTTCTTGGTTTCTTGGTAAGTAGTTCTTGGTAACTGGGTAAGTAGTTCTTTGTTTCTGGGTAAGTAGTCCTTGGTAATTGGGTAAGTAGTTCTTTGTTTCTGGGTAAGTAGTTCTTGGTTTCTGGGTAAGCAGTTCTTAGTTTCTGGGTAAACAGTTCTTGGTAACTGGGTAAGTAGTTCTTGGTTTCTGGGTAAGTAGTTTTTGGTAACTGGGTAAGTAGTTCTTTGTGGGGGGGTAAGTAGTTCTTGGTTTCTAGGTAAGTAGTTCTTGGTTTCCGGGTAAGTAGTTCTTGGTATCTGGGTAAGTAGTTCTTTGTTTATGGGTAAGTAGTTCTTGGTTACTGGGTAAGTAGTTCTTTCTTTCTGGGTAAGTAGTTCTTGGGTTCTGGGTAAGTAGTTCTTTGTGGGGGGGTAAGTAGTTCTTGGTTACTGGGTAAGTAGTTCTTTGTTTCTGGGTAAGTAGTTCTTGGTTTCTGGGTATAGCAGTTCTTGGTAACTGGGTAAGTAGTTCTTGGTAACTGGGTATAGCAGTTCTTTGTTTCTGGATAAGTAGTCCTTTGTTTCTTGGTAAGTAGTTCTTTGTTTCTGGGTAAGTAGTTCTTGGTTTCTGGATAAGTAGTTCTTTGTTTCTTGGTAAGTAGTTCTTTGTTTCTGGGTAAGTAGTTCTTTGTTTCTGGGTAAGTAGTTCTTGGTAACTGGGTAAGTAGTTCTTGGTTTCTGGGTAAGTAGTTCCTTTTTTCTGGGTAAGTAGTTCTTGGTAGCTGGATAAGTAGTTCTTTGTTTCTGGGTAAGTAGTTCTTTGTTTCTTGATACGTAGTCCTTTGTTTCTGGGTAAGTAGTTCTTGGTTTTTTGGTAAGTAGTTCTTGGTAACTGGGTAAGTAGTTCTTTGTTTCTGGGTAAGTAGTTCTTGGTTTCTGGGTAAGTAGATCTTGGTTACTGGGTAAGCAGTTCTTGGTAACTGGGTAAGAAGTTCTTGGTAGCTGGATAAGTAGTTCTTTGTTTCTGGGTAAGTAGTTCTTTGTTTCTGGATAAGTAGTCCTTTGTTTCTGGGTAAGTAGTCCTTTGTTTCTGGGTAAGTAGTTCTTTGTTTCTGGGTAAGTAGTTCTTTGTTTCTGGATAAGTAGTTCTTTGTTTCTGGGTAAGTAGTTCTTTGTTTCTGGGTAAGTAGTTCTTTGTTTCTGGGTAAGTAGTTCTTGGTAACTGGGTAAGTAGTTCTTTGTTTCTGGGTAAGTAGTTCTTTGTTTCTGGGTAAGTAGTTCTTTGTTTCTGGGTAAGTAGTTCTTTGTTTCTGGGTAAGTAGTTCTTTGTTTCTGGGTAAGTAGTTCTTTGTTTCTGGGTAAGTAGTTCTTTGTTTCTGGGTAAGTAGTTCTTTGTTTCTGGGTAAGTAGTTCTTTGTTTCTGGGTAAGTAGTTCTTTGTTTCTGGGTAAGTAGTTCTTTGTTTCTGGGTAAGTAGTTCTTTGTTTCTGGGTAAGTAGTCCTTTGTTTCTGGGTAAGTAGTCCTTGGTAACTGGGTAAGTAGTTCTTTGTTTCTGGGTAAGTAGTTCTTGGTAACTGGGTAAGTAGTTCTTTGTTTCTGGGTAAGAAGTTCTTTGTTTCTGGGTAAGCAGTTCTTAGTTTCTGGGTAGCAGTATTACAAGTAAATATTACTGACTAAGTAAGAATTTATTAGGGGTGGGTACAAATATTCCATTCTTACATATAAGATTCTGAAATAGTACTACATTGCAATAATTTATAAACTATTGTTTGTGGGTTTAGCTTTAGTTACGAAATAATTTTACAGAAATAATATTAATATTTAATCAATATAATCCAAATTATGCTTGCCTTATATAATAACTTGTTACGCTATATTAAATCATTTTGAACTATCATTAAAGCTTGCTGAACTGATGCTCACTTTTGTGTCTCCATTATAAAATCATCATAAGTACCCTGAATTCCTAGGAATACAATATATTGTGATATATTGCAATATTCCTCTAGGAATTCAATATATTGTGATATATTGCAATATTCCTCTAGGAATACAATATATTGTGATATATTGTGATATTGTGATATTGTGATATATTGTAATATATTGTGATATATTGTAATATATTGTGATATATTGTAATATATTGTGATATATTGTGATACATTGATATATTGTGATATATTGATATATTGATATATTGTGATATATTGTGATATGAAAATTGGCTGCAATGCCCACCCCTTGACCTAATTTGCATTTTTGTTGAAAATCACCATGACACCATGAGTTATATATTTTTGTTCTAGTTTCAGCTGGAGTATATATGTATATAAGAAGACTAATATTTACTTGATATATATTCACTTATTCCCTTGAATTCAGTGTGAGGTTTCTCACAAAATTATGTGGTAACAAACCTCTTACAAACCTAAGTAATCTATGATACATTTTCTAACCTGTTATGTTGTAGGACCCAGTGGAATGTTGACGGGTAACGTGTCAGGTCCGTGTATGTCGGGTTTCTATTATGTAATAGCCTTACCCAAGACCAACCTGTACCTCCTGGTCGTAGAAAACTGGAATGCCTACAAAGCCACTCTCTTCTACAACTTCAACTGTAAAATAACCAGAAGGTGAGATCTTACCATCTCTCTGTGACCTTTGACCTCTGACCTTACAATGACATAGCAATGGGTTTTGATATTAAAATGGTTTTTAACGACCATCAATCTGTGACCTTTCATATTCCTCGAATTGAATTATACTTGGTACATAGAACCCTTACATTGAGGGAATGTGAATAAAGTATGGAAATATGGAGTCATCTCCCCTGTTTAAGTGGTTATGCCCCTTTGTTTAAAACATTGTTTGCACTTCTTCTCAAGTACTGCACCAATTTATATGATACTTAGTGCACATAACACTCAAAATAAGAGAATGTGAATAGCCTATTTTAAATGCTCCCCTTTTTATGAAGTTAAGCTCCTCTGTTTAAAAACGTTTTTCGAAAGAACTATTCCTTCTGGGAGTATAAGTCTGCCATACTGGTGACATTTTTAGTTCCACTTGCAAATAAAAACAACGCTGCTAAATTTCAGTACAGTGCAGTTAAGTCAAAAGAGCTTTTACTAGCCAAAGCCAAAGCCAAAGCCAGTAAGGAAAAAAGAGCTTTTACTAGCCAAAGCCAAAGCCAGTAAGGAAAAAAGAGCTTTACTAGCCAAAGCCAAAGACAGTTAGGACAAAAGAGTTTTTACTAGCCAAAGCCAAAGACAGTTAGGACAAAAGAACTTTTAATAGCCAGAGACAGTTTAGGACAAAAGAGCTTTTACTAGCCAAAGCCAGACAGTTAGGACAAAAGAGCTTTTACTAGCCAAAGCCAGACAGTTAGGACAAAAGAGCTTTTACTAGCCAAAGCCAGACAGTTAGGACAAAAGAGCTTTTACTAGCCAAAGCCAGACAGTTAGGACAAAAGAGCTTTTACTAGCCAAAGCCAGACAGTTAGGACAAAAGAGCTTTTACTAGCCAAAGCCAGACAGTTAGGACAAAAGAGCTTTTACTAGCCAAAGCCAGACAGTTAGGACAAAAGAGCTTTTACTAGCCAAAGCCAGACAGTTAGGACAAAAGAGCTTTTACTAGCCAAAGCCAGACAGTTAGGACAAAAGAGCTTTTACTAGCCAAAGCCA